CTCTACATTTTGGTGACGAGACAGCAACATATACTTAGCTTTCTCTGTGTTTACTTGTAGACCAATCTCCTTACTTATGTCAATTGAAGTCTGTGGGCTTTTCTTTATGGTATCTACATTATCACCCAGCAGATTCACATCGTCGGCATAGACCAACAGCTGATGTGTCCTGTTTAGTTTCAGTCCCACCTGGTTTCCCTAGACCTTCCTAATTGCATATTCTAAGGCAAAGTTGAAAAGGAGTGGCGATAAAGCGTCTCCTTGTTTTAGACCATTCTGGATAGGAAATTTATCAGACAAATGTTTACCACACGGATTAATATTTTATGCTTCGCCGATTTTAAAAGCCTTTTATTTTTAGTGTTTTAATAGTACAACACATTATATATTATAGTAGTGCTCTTTTCGTTGATAAGAATTTTCGATTATCCGAAACACCTTTGTCACTAATTAATTAGAATAATCGGCGTTCTGCTATAATAAGAAAATTAAAGAATCTGACAGAAATAGTTTGAATATCCCCCTGAAACATTGGTAACCAAGTACGAGAATACATTGTGTTACAGCCTAAAAGGCGTTGTACTTTGTACGTCACTTAAAACAAAGTTAAACGTCACGGATGAAATATTATATTGAAGTATTCTGTTGCACTGTACACTTCTGTATGTAATAATACAAATGCCGTCGTGAATGCAACAATTTATTTGGTTATAGTTCTTTGCCTTTTCTTCCTCTACACTACATTTTTCGGCCGTAACTGGCCATCATCAGGTATATTTTTCACTACGTAGCTGATTTAAAACTTTACATTTTGAATTTTAAATAAAAAAAATTAAATTTTAAACTGAAATTCTGAAATCAAATTGACGAGCGTATTGTGGCGAGATTTTAAACAAAACTGACAGGCTGGTGTTTTAGATTTTGGATAGTGTGCAGTGTGACAGCTACATGGTGAAAATTACACCTGATGATGGCCAGTTACGGCCGAAACATGTAATGTAGAGGAAGAAAAGACAAAGAACTACAACCAAATAAATTGTTGTATTCATGACGGCATTTGTATTATTACTTA